GTCGTGGTCGTGGTCGTGGTCGTGGTCGTGGTCGTGGTCGTGGTCGTGGTCGTGGTCGTCGTCGTGGTGGTAGTAGTAGTAGTAGTATAATAATAGTAGTAGTAGTAGTAATAGCAGTAGTAGTAGTATAATAGTAGTAGTAGTAATAGTAGTAGTAGTAGTAGTAGTAGTAGTAGTAGTATAATAGTAGTAGTATAATAGTAGTAGTAGTATAATAGTAGTAGTAGTAGTAGTAGTAGTATAATAGTAGGAGTAGTAGTAGTAGTAGTAGTAGTATAATAGTAGTAGTAGTAGTAGTAGTAGTAGTATGATCGTAGTAGTGGTAGTAGTAGTAGTAGTATGATAGTAGTAGTAGTAGTAGTGGTGGTGGTGGTGGTAGTAGTAGTATGATAGTAGTAGTAGTATGATAGTACTAGTAGTATGAAAGTAGTACTATGATAGTAGTAGTAGTAGTAGTAGTAGTAGTAGTTGTTGTTGTTGTTGTAGTAGTAGTCCGTCACATGACCATGTCAAGCGTGCCAAACTTGCCTTGGTCGCGCAGAAACATGTGGGTTTGGGAGCTAACTCTTCATGACCAGCGTTGTTGGGGATCTTCAAGCCATACATGCATTGATCAACATAGGTGTCAAAGCTGATCTCTTGGATCTCCTGGTGCTGGAGGAGCCATCGATGGTCAGGAGCTGGCTACGAGGATGCTTCAGGCGGCTGAGTCTGCCAGTCTGGTAGCCCGTTTTTCTGGCAAAGAAGAGTGGGGTGAGGATTGATCGTTCAGGGTGCTCCCAACAATTTCGACCCGCAGCGCAGGAGGAGGAACTTGCCTAGACTCGACCCCAACTTCACTGACCGCTTAGAGGAGATACGAGATCATCCTGACAAGTCCATAGGCGAGGGAGCTTTTTTTACGCTTTGTTGGCTTCCTTGGTGAAACAAAGGCCATTAGCCTTGATCAAACACGTGAAGGAGGCAAACGGGATTGATCCATTCGAGCCGGCGTCAAACAACCGATTCGAGTGAAGAAAGGTGGAATCCTCACCCAACCACTCAACCCCGAAGAAGCCTTTATCGAATTTGAGAAAACGGGCTCAAAGCTTGCTGGCAGCATCGACTTCGCCATGTTGATGAAATGTGTCAGGGGCCAACTCAAGACTTGGTTGCAGCTCAAAGTGGCCGAGACTTAGACTTCGCGAGGCCATTATCCAGCTTGACAACGCTGCGGGGTGCTGGGTCATACGGGCACAAGTATATACATAAAAATGGTTGAAGCTTCTTCTACACTGGCTACAAGCGCCAGATGGAGAAGGTGGACGTGTTGCTCTGAAGCAGTTCAATGAGCAACATGTTGAGAAAGGAAGGGTGATGAGGATTGCAAAGTACCTGAACGGGCTGGTCTGAATCAGTGGTTGAGTGGGTGGTGGTGCAAGGGTAGAATCAGGCCTGTCCGATGATTCGAACTACGTGATGAGGCTTGTCCACTTCGTGATGCTGATGGCGGTGATTTTCAGCATTTAGTGGCTTAGAAGGAAGGTTCAGGACATGGGCAAGAAGATAGCGAGGTGTCCAGGACGAAGTGGAAGCCCAAATTCAGAACAATATCCACGCCGTAGCAGGACAAGATGTGGTCCAGACAGCTGGACTACACTCAGAGGATCCATCGAGCTCTGGCATCGAGGAGGTTTCGTAGGGGGGCATTCTAACAGAGATGATTTGGAATGAGCAGGTGGAGTTGGACACTGAGAGTACCACCTCACCGTCAACCACCCAGCAAAAGCGCGACGACGCCCGAAGAGAACCAGCAGCCTGATGAGATCTGGCAGCCGGAATCTAGAGGAACAATTTAAGTTCATGAACAGGCCCTACAGGGCCAGGCAGGAATGCCAAGATAGAGGAAACGGTTCTATGCGGTACGGTAGGTTGATGGAAGAGTGTTGCCTTTACATGGACCCACGTCCAAGGTCAGGTCTAATAGTGAACACTCCAAATCTGATGGAGGAGTGCGTGTAGAGGTTACGCGTCACGTACTCATGTACTAGGAAGATGCATGTCAAAGACATAGCGCAAATCGAGAAGATGTACCGAACCGCAGACCGCCTTTGATGCTCGAAACATTTCCGCAAAAACAGTGGATCAAACATTGTGTGACAGTCTTGCGGGGCACTCTTGTAAGACACTCTTGCAGGCGGTGCTCTGTGGGACACTTGTAGGACGCACTTGTAGGAGACAGTCTCACTCTTTGTGGGAAACTCTCGTGCAAAGCTCTTGCCGGAAACTCTCCCGCAAAGCCCGTGTGAGACACTCTTTTGGGACACTCTCACGATTCACGCTTGCGGGGCTCTTGTGGGGCACTCTTGTAGGACATTATTCCGGGGCACTCTTGTGCCACACACTTGTGCTTTCTCCCGAACTCACGCGTCAAGTCTCCAAAACGAGCGTTTTATACGAGACTTCCTAGCGTTCGCGCGAGACTTCCTCCAAAAGTCAGATGTCAAGTCTCCAGAACAAACGCTTCGTGCGAGGGTTTTTTCAAAACTCATGCGTCAAGTCTCCAAAACAAGCGTTTTGTACGAGGGTACCTCCAAAATTGACACGTCAAGTCTCCAAAACGAGCGTCTTGTACGAGACTTTCTCCACAAGTTTCGTGCAAGATATCCTCTAAGAAGCACCCGTCGAAGTCTTCAAAAACGAGCGCTTCGCACGAGACTTCCGTCAAAAGTGAAGCAGGAAGACCCATCGGAGCCAACGCATCAAGCAGCCCCTGCCAAGCATTTTCGCAGTCCCACCCACTCAAAACCACAGCCACCCACACACCCTTCCCAATGTCACAACGACATTCACCGTCGCCCAACGTCGCAACCTCACGGTTCCCTGCGCTTGCCTCGAAAATTCAACTTCGACGCACAAAGTCCTGCGGCGCGACAAAAAGTGTCGGCGTGACACCTTCATGTCGTCGGCAAAATTTGCACCACACCACACGTTTGGAACGATTTCGGCACTTTCTGAGCACACTCTCCACCAAAATCGCAACTTTAGCAGAGGCTTGTCACGAAAGCATAGGTTCGAAGCAACAACCCAAAACCCAAATCCCACTGTTACAATAACGCTTCGCGAACAACCCCCACCAAGACCCCTCGCTTTGCATTCAGGAAGAAACACTGCATCCTTTTGTCGGCGATTTCCACAACTGAGTTCAGGTCTGGTGCTTAAGAAGGAGGCACTGGCATGCATCAATGGAAGCGAAAGATAACATTGTCACACTGTCAACATGTCAGGTTTCTCAGACTTGTCAGGCTTGCGAGGCAAACCACCATTTGCCTCTGAAAGATGAAAGATGGTAAGTGGGTAAGTGGAGCAGAGACCTTTGAAGCGCTGTGGGTCTTGATTGGATCATCGTTTCACTTCCAACAAGGCTGGAGCACATGCTGATAAGGTAGGCAACACTGCTTACGTTTTTGTGTTATTGCTGTAAGGGCACAAGGTGTTGGTTTGTTGTAAGGAGCAAGAGACTGTTAGGTTGTTGGTTTACCAGATTCAACCCAGTGTGGTTCCTTCTTTGCTCCACCTCTGAAGCCTTTAGTTTCTCAGACGCATTGTACAGGCGTTCGGTATCTGGGCTGGCCTGCAGAACAGGCCTTGCTTGTAGCCTTGAAAAGTGCTACTACAGTAAACTCGCAAACCACAAAGAATCCCTAGGGAGGCGCATGTGTTAAGCAGAGGAGGTGATGCAGACAGAGAATATTTTGCGACCGCAAGGCCTTTGATCAGATTCCCTTGCTCTACCCTCATGCAAAAAGGAACACTGGTGCATCACCTTCTGCTTGATACCCAGAAGCAAGCAAACATCTTTTTTGGATTGGGTCCTGGATCATCGTCAGAACAACCATATGATGCCTACTGACATAGCAAACTCGGTGATGGAAGTTCATGATTCATGATCTCTCATGAGAGAGAAAGGTATGCTTAGGTGTGCTTCATGTCCATGGTTTCACCAAACTCACAATAATGTGTAAGGAATCCTATTCTAAACCATAAGTTTACCGCAGCCATTTGGCACAGGGTCTGGTCAGCTCTCGAGAGAGCATGGGTGGCATGGGCCTGGGCCTGTGGAGAGAGAAAAGCACCAACGCGGCTGAAGGGCGTTGAAGGGCGTTGAAGTGTGGTGCAAAAGAGGGACCTTGAAGAGGTTTTTTTTGCTGGACAGACAAGCGGGTTGTTCATGGCAACTGGTTAACCTCAAAGCAAGCGAGCCCATTGGATGAGGCAGTCCTGACGCCCAAGCGCGAGAGCGCTACCGCAACACACTTTTCGACAGAGAGGCCGTGAACCTGAATGTTTCTACAGCTTCGCTTACTTGCGCCAAAAGCGAAAAGGTTTAGGGCCTCGTTAGTTCTGCTTCTTTGTCAGGCCAAAGCTGCAACTGCGTTGCTAGAGCAGGTTGGGTACGCCGTAAGAGGAACCCGTACAGTACACCGACCGTGTATGTGTTCCATGTATCTCCACGCGTGCGTACATACAAGATTTTTGTGTGCGCCGCACTGTGGCCAGAGCTTTGTTCTTGAATATGCAGATGCAGCTTGCGCAAAGTGCAAAAACATTCGCTTGGCATTGCAGAGGTGCGGCAGTATGTGGGCAGATCTGGCAAGTGTCATGTGACTGACTTTGAGGATCGCACGGCGGATCAACTGGGAACGGTTTCTGTGAGGGTATCGTAGGATGGACCTTCAAGAGACATCGCGAGTCATCATGAAGCAAGTTTGCTTCACAGTCACAGTCTTTTGCATCAGTTGATCAAGTGGGTCAGAGGACCTGTGCACCATCCACCATGCGATTAGCAACCTCTACGAGCGCGTGCGGAGGTGCAGCTCATACACTTTGCAAGCAATATCAAACATATACTGCAACCAGTCAATGAACTCAAACATTTCAGTATTCAATAACTTTTTGTTTAGAGTGACTTGCCAGTTCTTGTTTTTTTCCCGATTTTCTGTTGCTTTGCAGGTTTTCCAACCTGGAGACCATGCCCCGAGTCTACCGCAGCGCTGTAAAGGCATGTGGGGAAGATTCAGAAATCTGCGGCAAGGGATGCAGAGACGAAGATACCAGTCTAGACGCGCATTTGTTTTAGCAGGATATTTTCGTGGTCTGGCTGCCTTAAATTGCGCTGTGTCAGGCACCCCCTGCCCCGCAGCAGAGGTGCAGAGGGAGCTGGTCACTCACAACCTTTCAGATTGAAATACACTCTTTTGGACAGGTGTGCTGCTCAAGAGCCCGTGGTTCTTTACTCAGTTTGTGCTGCGTGGGGGTCACAAGCATTTTACGCAATTTCAGCAAGCATGTTGTGAAAGGTTGCACGCATGCACATATGTATGTGTATATACGCAAAAAAACTATATATATATATATTACCTTGTATTGTAGGGGCGTGGCTACCATCATTGGTAGCGGAGCCAGGGAATAGCCTTTGGCAGCTGGGTCTAACCGCGCGCTCCATGTCTGAACTGGGAGCGAGTCTCTGCTCCTTTTCTGGTGAGGACTGCGACCATGGTGAGCACTGGCGATGGCTCGCAACAGGATCAGAGATGGACAAGATGCCTGCTAAAGCCAGTGGATCCGCACATCCGCATACACAGGACATCCAAAAGGGACCGCCGCACCTTCATAGATTCTCCCATGAACCAGTTCATTTGTAGTCGCACCCCTTGTTGCCTGGTATCGACTTAGCAACAACCAACAAGCATGTCTCGCTGCCCAGGACCACAAACTGTGACTGGAGCTGCGTGCGAGGAGGCTGCGTCAGAAACTCAAGAGGGCGAGTTCCAGGTGGATACCACTGCAACCGGCTTTGATGATGGCGAAGGGCAGGCTGAGGAGTTGAAGCCGCGTACCCGACGTACCCACTGCAGACGCGCTGCAAGATCAGACATATTCCGGTCAAAGTGGCCGCGACCGCAAGTGGCCCCTTGAGCAAGTGTGCCCAGGTGGGCCACAAGAGGTCCAAAGAAAACCCGAGCCAAATCTGCGCCAGACCACCAGCCACAGGAAAATGTCTGCCATTTTCCGCAGTTGCCATCCCGTGTGGCCACTTGCAGCCAATCGGGCGGCTGAACCCTGAGCAAAATCAGAAAGCGCGTCACTTGTTCGTTCTTTGGGTTCTACATGTTGTACTAACATCTATCCATACATATATGTATACATACACATATGATCTACGAAAAATGCAGCTGTTGTAAGAATTGGCTTTCCAAAGCTTGGAAGAGCGCCCAAAGGAACCAGAGCTGCTGATGCTGCATGGCAGCGACGCACTGGAGGTGATTGAGCAGCAGCAAGAGACAAGCGAAAGAGAAAGAGAAGAGAGAGAAGGAGAGAAAGACAAGACACAGTCAAAAAAGGTGATCTGCTGGCCTTCTCAATGTTGTCACGCCAGCATTTTGACAGGTGTTTTTTACAGCACTGAAAGGTAGGCCAAATGAAAAAAAATTGCAGCAGTTTTTTGGGTGGACCTTCCACTATGACACCTTTAGATTCAACCTTTAGAGGGATGGGTCTCCAGGCTAGTAGCACTTCAAAAGGGCTTTGCGTTGAAGCTGCCACTCGTTTAGACCGTTGGGGTTGTCAAACTAGATCTTTTTGAAGTGTTACAACAAAGTCCTGTAATCTATTCAGGATTGGTATTTGTGCGGCCAATGAAAGGCAGCGTGAATATCCGTTTCACTGCGTGCGAGGGTGACCCCGAAATGGGTGTGGGCGCAGCCGCTGAAGCCCAGCAGCAACCTTAGTGCACAATCGCGAAGGAACAGGTCCTACCTAAAGGCAGGTCCTAAAGTTGAAAGGCAGGTCTGAGTTCCTTTTTTCATGATGTCCTCTTAAATCTTAAGCTCCCTTGACTTGCCCTTGAGGTCCTCGCCACCACTTTTCGACCTTGTTCGAAAAGTTCCAGAGGTGTCAATGGAGGCCATGAACTGGCTATTGCATTGCCCACAAATTGATTTTGAGTCCTTGTACTTTGATTCCAAGATAGCTCAGATAGCTGAAACCAGCGAGCATATGGGTGCAAAGGTGTGTACGTCCATGAAATACGTGTCCTCAGTTTGAACTTGTATGCCCCACGCATATTTGTACATCGAGTATCAGGGACAGTATGACTCTGGTGGCCAGGGTGACCAACACATTCCACATGCCAGCAAGATTGCTAAGTGTGCCCTGTGAGGAGTTGTGTCGAGGAGGCGTGGTGGGTCCTTGGCTTTTCGAGCCTGGGATCAGTGGCACCCTGTTTATGGGAACTTGCTCAAAAGATGCTAAGACAGTTTGATCCACCATTTGTCATGGTGGTTTCCTTGCTCGTGACCAGAGAAGCACTTTAGAAGCCTTGACATTCGTGGCTATTTTCTGGCTTCCAGCACTCATACAACAAAGTACAGATTTCGAGACCGGCAGACAGATCAAGCCTTGGCTACTCTCTGTGCTGCGCGATGACAGTGGATCGGTTTCTCAAAGTCTTATCATGCAACAAGCAGTTGATCAATGTTGATTGCTTTTTTTTTTTCGGCCAATGATGTCTACTGTTGCGGACGTGCCGGACTGACCCAAATGTGGCGGCTTTTTTGGGCAAAGCTGGCGGTGGCTTTGGCTGCCATCAAACGACCATGGGAGGACGGACGTTGGAGAGATTGCGACTTGGTGACTGAAATATGTTTTCGATTGCAGGAGACCACCGGACCTGCAGAGATGCGTTTGCCACCAATTCAAACAGCGCGAGGAAATCGTGTTCCATGACTGGCAAGACACCAGTTCATACAAAGAATGTCAATTGACCGATTGGTTCCGCAGTGCTTCAGTCTGTCAGCCAACATGGATAGAATGCAGCATGGTTCAAGGCATGGTAAACAAATATGTATTTGTATATATATATATGACACGTGATATACAGTATTCCACAATGTGAACAAGCAAGAACGAAACTATTCGATATAGGAACCGAAACTTGCCACAACAGGTGGGACAAAGATACTCTAGACTCTACATATTTTGCAGCCCACAATGATTCAACAATCACAACTAGCCTACTGTTTCTACATCATGCGATTGCTCACTTCAGCACAGGTGGCATTCATTGGGCAGCAGGGTGGGTGGGTTGTGCCATGCACAGCATCGCTTTGGCATGCTTGGCTTTTGTGAGTTTTGCTGATGAGTTTCCAGAAGCTGTGGAGGAGGACGCTTTGGTTTGAAGTGGCAAAGCCGTCAATCTCATCAGTTTTTACCTGAATGAAGTGATATGAAATGACCTTGATCCCTCTCATCGTTTTTGAGGACGCGTTGTCACTCGATCGTTTGTCCAAAGTATTTTCACTATGTGATGATGGTGATGGTCGCCTCTCACTGAACGAGTTGCTTCATTTTGCGGAGAGGGGTCGCCAAAGCTT